CCTCAGTCGCGACGTTTCCGCAATGGTCGGCACGGATTGAGGGGCCATCGCAGTCGAGTCACATCGCGGAGTCCACACAAGCGGTGCTAGACTTCGAGCTGAAGAGAGCTCAGAGCCAATCGATAACGCGGAGACCGATGACCCGGTAGCCCGACCAGACCCGATAGATAAGAGTAAAAGGTGGGAGGGGGAAGGTATTCGAGTTGGTCATTCTCATTTCGCCAACGATTCCTAGGTTTTCGACGTTAATAAAACCACCGCACCAATATCCACCCTTAATATCCGATGGGTGGACGTGGAGCCGGTTGTGGATGGTGGCACGACGGCAGGGACAGCGGGAAGGCAGTGACTATCCATGTGGCTGACCGTGCGAAATGCCGCTAAGCCCGCCTGCCTGTTAGCAGGTCAGGACCGCCCGAGGCTCGGAGATCAGGTGACCGAAGATTGTATTCCGAAAATAGTCATGTCAGATACCGAAGGGAGCCAATAACCAGCGACGCTCGTCGGCTAGATGTGCGATTGAGGTGAAAGCTCGTAAGAAAAAATGGTCTCGAGCCCCGCCCCCTCCATTTTATATTACGCAAACGCTAGTGCGCGAGAGAAGAACCAAAGCGGGCCCGATGTCGGATTTCGCAGCAGATATCCAAAAGAGACGAACCCGACGTCAGATTCTCCGGCAGAAATGGCGTCGAAGGCACTTCGTGCGGGAATTCATCGACGGAGGCCCTCTATAGAGGATTAGCGAAGGATTACCCTGGAGCTCTTTTCTTGTGTTCGGGTCGTTAAAATATTTCCAGATTCACTTTTCGTCTAATTTCCACATTTCTGCAGCGAGGATCACAGGGACAGTAATTATTGGAGACACCGAATGAAATGTATTCGCCTCCAGCGAAGACGCCTGAGACCGGACTGGTTCACTCGCCGAGTGAGCGGCCAGACAACGGGCCTCTGGGGGACCTCTACGCGTTGCTGGTCGCGCTGTGTACACGCTCCATAAATTTCAGCGCGAAGAGCTTCGTCGAAGATAACATGATGCTGGGGCCTGGTTGGAACATAAACTAGTCAGTCAGTTCGTCAGTCAGCGTGTGTTCGCTGGCGTAGCATTCGAATGCGTTCCCTTCCGAGTATTGAACAAAACAAACGGAGAAATAAAGCGAGACTCGTACGAGCTCTACAGTTCGTCTCCCGTTTGAGAGAATGACGCGCTTCGGCTCTTCCAGAAAGACCTTGTCGGATTGTCTACGACCACGCTTAAAGGTCATTGCTTGCCGCCGGGAAGATTGACCGGCCATGGCGCGCCATAACACCGTAGAAACATTCGAGTGGGAAAATACGATGTTCCTTTGAAATGATTGGACTCGAGCCACATGATTCGTTCTCTTGACAATAGACTGTCCCTTACTAGATATCATGGGGAAACCCTTCCAAACTTCCAACCGACCAACTGACTGAGCGATCGACCGGATAACTGACCGGCTGATTGTCGGAGTGACGGTCGATTCAAGAGGGACCGCGTAAGGGGGGGGGCGATGATTCGAGGACAGCGACGCGTCGCGGCATTCCGGAAATCGGTGCATCCGAAGCTCGAAGGTGAGGGTGAATCGAAGTTCCATTCCTTGACAGAGATCGTCCCGGCCCAAGTTGGAGAGTTAACTCGGATGGAATTCTTGCTCTCGGATTTTACCTCCCAGGATTGGAAGCTTTCAAAGTGCATCGGATCCCAATCTGGGAGCTGGAGCAGTCTAGAAACCAAAGAGCGAAGCATAGCCGCTCACCAGTACCTGCGTTTGTCGCCTCTAAGACGACAACCAGAGACCGCTGCTGTCGAGCAGGCGGCGGCTGCTGCTGCCACTACTGCCGCTGAAAGACGACCCCAACCAAATGAGAGACCTGACTTGACTGCATCGCAAATGCGTAATTCGCAGAATAAGCCATTGAGAGAGCTGGCTCACTGCTCCTGTTTCTTTTCCCTCCTGGATCTAAATGACAGCAGTTCCGAGTCGGCGGTCCAGCAACATCAACTTGCTTGAGCGGCTGAGGCGGGCGGGCGGGTGAACGAGCGAGGGGGAACACTGTGGCCTGCACAAGGCTCGCCCTTTTCGCATATCGTGAACTGAGAGTCGAAGGGACCCGCGCGGAGACCGACTTTTGACTACGTGATGTTTCCGACACGTCTGTTGACACTGATCGATTCGCCGGCCCTCATGATTTTCTCGACTCTCCGTTCAGAGATAACGGTTCACAGTAAGCAGATTGATATGATTGCGTTACGGCCCACACACGTCGTGGCGGGGCTGGATCTCAGAGCCTCGCGGAAAAGTCACTCCAGAAGAGTTCTTTGAAGTCGAAGACGGCTCGATTGCCGGATTTCTGAACTCCCCGATTCGCCGGGACGAGTCGGAGAGATTCGACTCTCTTCCCCGCCGCCCCGTCCGTCGCATGATCTCTCCGAGTCGTTTGCGCATTTCCCTCGACTCAACCATTCGTTCCGGTATGCGCCGGAAGACAAAAGCTCATTCAAATGACGTTCGGAGTGTCTGATGGAGAAGGTCTGCAGGGACCTCACGTGTCACGGTCAGGCAGGCGAGATGGCATAGCGAACACAGAAGGCTCCAACAGCCCTCGGTTTCTGAGTGTACGAGTTCTCATGCCACAAATTGCACGCATGCAAGGATTGACGGACCGGTGTGTTGCCCGCTTGCTTGCTGGGTCGGTCCTGTGGTTTCTCGTCTTTCTTTCGCACGATCTCAGCGGAGGGCTTCGGGAACCGGCAAGATGGTTGACTTCTCATCCGAAAATAGTTTCCTCAACGCTGTTGTGATCTCTCCAGAGGCCATGAGTGTTGGTGGCCGCGATTGGACTGGAGCCCCGTGCATACACGCAATCCAACACAATCGCGTCCGCGAGCCAGTGAGCCAACAAATAAGCAGGCGCCAGTTTACAAGCAGGTCATAACTTTTCGTTAACATGCAATAGCAGCGCAGAGTAGTTTCGGCGCCTCGATCAGGGCTTATAGTCGATTCGCACAGTGAAATCGTGTTAGAGAGACTCATCGGTCGGGCAGATCCTGTTTTCTGATAAACCTACGAAATTCACCTTTAATTGCTTGCGGGAAACCAGAGTCGACGAACTCAGTGATGTGGTTCACGCTGTTGACACGAAAACTCACTACGAGTTATGTTTAAACCCTCATGGCATGTCCTGAGGATCGCGTTTGGACACAGAACAGTTGTCAGTTCAGTGACAAGCGTCGGCAAGATCTATTTCACAGAAGCTTGCTTGGAGTAAACACGCAGCGCAGCAATGCGTCTTTGGTCGCTGCCATCTTCCGAGACTGTGGCTAGAGCTGTTTCTCGATTCTCGGTACTAGCAGCCGCTTCTCAGCAACTCTCTCCAGCTCGCCAGCCGCCAGAGGGCGCCATGGCGATTATCGTGACGTCACATCCGTCGATTCGGAAAACAATGAGGACGGTGATCTTTGTCGTTCTCTGGTGAGCCCGACCGAATTTCATGGGCTCTGAGTCGCTGAAGAGACGGAGCTTCATGTGAATACCTGTGAATTCATTTCATCTCCATGAATGAGTACCTTGATTGCCGGACCTCAATGACGAGCGGGCCGTGACCGTTTGAAGGCCTCTTCGCCCCGACATTGTCTCCCGAGATATCAAATGGACAGAGAGTCGTTCCGAATCTTTGGTTAATTTGTGGCGGAATCCCGATCTCGGAACAAGGAAGGGAGGGGGGGGGGGAAATTCCTGATCGAGCTCCAGTCCTTCCCCTCAGGGGATGAAAGCGATGGAAGAGGGTCATGATGATCGAGCTACGAGGACTCTACCTTCGTCAATATTACATAATTGAGTCGCCGTGTGGCGTTACATGGGTCACATTCAGGCGCAGCTCTCAAGGAGCTGCCTCGCACTCTACTTTGTTTTGTCCCGAGGACTCTGAACCCCCTTCCCGATTCCCCTCCCCCAAGTAACGGGACGATCGGGAAACTGACTGCGGCGCTGGAGGAGTCACAAGTCTCAGGACTGCCGGTGTCGTCCAAGGGATCTCTTTTAGATAGCTCGAGACTCATTCATTTCACACCTTCATATCGTGCGAGAGTTCTCGAAGACGGCATTGGAAGTCTCAGATCGCATCGGGTTCCTCTTTCTCCAGAAAAAGTCTGGAGGAGAGCGGGTTGTCCGGATTAGGAGGTAAACCGGACGAATGATGATGCGCCAGTTCAGAGGTCCGGAGCCGCTCGGTGTTCCGCCTGGAGTTCTCCTCTTGAAATATGGAACTTAGCATGGAGGTCCTACTCGATAGACCCGTCCTATACTGAGCAGGTTGGGCATCCAAGCACAAGCTAAGGTTTCGGAGATTTCTCATCCAGTCCAATCCTCGACGATTTTTCGACGCGGTCGGAAATTCTCAAGGGATCAATCAATGAGTTCCGGACAATTTCCCGAGTTCCTTTCCGCAAGGTCTCGCGTGAAGTTCTGAGGTTGCGAGGAGTCTACGAGCTCCCCGATTCCTGTGAGCCTGAGTTTGAGGATGGCTTTCCCTGCTTGCGCATCGAGGCATACATCCCCGTGCCGCGACCAGGAAGTTGTACATTTTCGTATGTACCGTGCATCACGCTCTCCGTAAGCACAGGGAATGCTCCGAGAATTCGTGGATGATCTCAGCATCGTACGTATCAATGTAAGTATGTATGCATGCAAATATACCGTACGGATGCCAAGTTCGGGGGAAAACGCCCGTTCGCGCTCGATTCCCCAGCAGAAATCACCGACAACATCGACTCAACTCTCTCGTCAACAGAATCGTAGGGATATTGTCTGTATTTCCTCATCGGGTCCCATCAGTATTCTGAATGAAGGCTCTCGGAAAGTGAAACTTAACCAGAAGTCAGGCTCACGAGGGACTGAGCGCAGGAAGCGTATTCAACTTTGATGTAGAGAGTGACTCGGCCTTTGTTAGTTCTGCTGCGGCTCCTACTCTTGTTGACCGTCGTCGTTGTCGTCGGCTATCGGTCGTGTGGTCTCTCGTCAGCTCGTCACCCGTCGTGAGTTCCCAAGGATTACCAATCGCGTTTAGAGTCTACCAGTCACGAGACGAGAGCCATCCCCGTGCATAGCGCATCATGACGGAGGGTCTTCGCGCTCTTGAGCGCGATCCTCAACAGGAGAATGCGGTCCAGGAGGCGGCGCAGGAAATCGTCAACAACGGAAATGGAACTGAAGGCAATGAGGAACCGCAACAGCCACCCCCAGCCCAGAACACAGTTGGCTCAATTTTCAAGGGGCTCGTGATGAGAGCTCTGATCGTGTATTGCATTAGTTCCTTCTTCAAGCGGGGTACTACAACTCCGGCCTCCGACGGCGTCAACACCTCACTCAACGCGCAGCCAAGTTCGAACATGTGGGCGAATGGAACTATCTTCGATCTCTACGTCTACGTATCGGAGGATGAGAGAGGCAGTGTGCATTTCCGTAAGCCCGGAGCCCTTCTCTGGAAGCAGGAGGACCTAGCTTACGGCGACTGGACGTCTGGGGAAAACGCGGACGGTATCCATTACTTCAGGGGGAACTTCGTCCCCAGTGGAAACATGTTGAACAATGGAACCATATATTTCCATGTGTACACGGTCCTATCCGGCAAAAGTCCCAATCCGAGGGCAGCTAATTTTGAGCGGAAACATGTCATACATCGTGTGAAACAGATGAATCGTTACCGCAAAAAAGTTTATCGGAAGACTCATAATCTGCTCACGGGTGAGACCGAGCAGTCTCTGGAAGATCAACTGAAGGCTGAACAAGCGACGTTCGAAATCTTATCGTTCTGGCATCCGAACATCACTATAAACATCATCGATGATCACTCTTCGTGGACTGAAGGCAAAATACCGAAACCGCTCGACGATCATATCGAGTTCGACGAAGTATCCGGAATGTACTATCCGGTTCTCTACATGAACGATTACTGGAATCTCAACAGAGATTACTACCCAATCAACGATACTCTGAGCGAATTACCCGTCTTCATCACATTCCAACCCCTGTCGCTGTTCAAATGGCAAATATATCTCGCGCAGTCGATGCGGAATTCAATGATGGCCACCGTCATGGGTGGAGGCACGGGAGGAGGTGGTGAAGACCCCGTGGAAGATCAAGACGCGCTCAAAGAAGCTCTGATCGAAACGAATCCATATCTTTTAGGGATGACAGTTGTAGTCAGTCTGCTGCACTCCGTCTTCGAGTTCCTGGCCTTCAAAAACGACATTCAGTTCTGGAAGGAGCGGAAAACGCTCGAGGGTCTCTCGGTGCGATCTGTGTTCTTCAACGTGTTCCAATCCTTTGTCGTGCTGCTCTACATCCTCGACAACGACACCAACACCGTGGTGAAAATCTCAGTTTTCGCCGGGATGTGTATCGAGATATGGAAGGTGAAAAAAGTTGTTAACGTGCGCGTCGACCGTGAGTCGAGATCTGTGTTCGGCCTCTTGCCTTTCAAGATTCACTTTGAAGACAAGGGAACCTACGTGGAGTCGTCGACGAAACAATACGATGAGATGGCTTTCAAATATCTAGGAATAGCGCTGTTTCCTCTAGTCGTGGGCTATTGCGGCTATTCGCTCATGTATCATGAACACAAAGGCTGGTATTCGTTCAGTGTATCCATGGTCTACGGTTTCTTGCTGACGTTCGGCTTCATCATGATGACACCGCAGCTTTTCATCAACTACAAACTCAAATCTGTCGCTCATTTGCCCTGGAGGATGCTCTCATACAAGTTCTTGAATACTTTCATTGACGACATATTCGCATTTGTCATCAAAATGCCCATGATGTACAGAATCGGATGCTTCCGAGACGATATCGTTTTCCTCATCTACTTATACCAGAGATGGATCTACAGAGTCGATCCCAAACGTGTCAACGAGTTCGGCACCAGTGCCGAGGACAACGACGGTCAGGGAGGCGTTGAACGAGCCCCACAGGACGCCATCGAGGCCTCTCCTTCTTCGCAGAGACCGAAGCAAGACTGATTGGAATGGTCCTTCATAGCGAATTGAGACATGTTGACTCACTTGTTGATAGTGACAGAGGCGAAGCTGGCGCTGTCAGTCTTCATCTATTTATAATATTTTTGAAAGAATGTAAGGTTCCCTAATCTATGTTTGTTTCCGGAAATTATTCGAGTTCCTTTAGGAGAGTCATGTTTTTCTACCGAAACCAAAACGGCGGTCGTTTCGCTGGCATGATTATTTACGGTCTGGCCATTTCATTGAGACCGCCATGTATTGAAGTGGTATTTTTCTTTAGGTAGCTTCCGTTCTCCATCAACTTATTTTAGTTGTGGAATGTTTTCGCCGATGAGAGCTGTGTTACCCAATGCCAACACGCGCCCTGGGCTCACGTCCGTATCTTCACCCCAGAAATTCACCCCGAATACCGATCTAAAGCAACGAAAACAAGTTTAGCATTTAGATATCGACGCGCTCTCACGTACACAGCTCGACTATTTCTCTGGGGTTGCCTGAATTGAGGGTACAGGGCCGCTGCATGTGTGGGGCCTCTCTTCATTCTGTCAAGCATGTTTGCCATACTTTTCTGGAAGGTTCTTTGGTCGGACGACCCCACTACAGCGCAGATATGAAATTGCTCGCAAGGTTGACAGCTGATTGAGGGTTCCAACCTCGATTGTAGTCGAGACTGTCAATGCTGTCGTGAGACATGCAACGAAAGGAGGGCCAGGGGAGCTCGGTAAATAATTGATGCGATGAAATGTGTGCAAGCGGAGCCGAGTGTGTGGAAAAAAGAACGTTGGTAAAGGAATCTTGAACGCATAGACGTTGATAATAATAAAGTAAGAAATGTGTTTATTGTTTCTAAATTTTCCCCTTTTATGACACAAGTACGGTTTCTTCTTTCAAAGCATTCACGGGGCATCTCAGGAGAGCTACTTGATATCGCATGTGTTCTCGTGGGATGAGTGACCACTCCAGCGGGTGCGAGTGGGGACGAGGCGATTCCGGAACAAATGATTTTCGTTCCCTCTTCTGAGTTTCGAGCGTAGGCATACGGAACATCGTTCATTTGCGAGATAGCTGGCCGAAAATTCCATCCTGCATCGGTCGCATATGATGCTGCAATGAGATCAACAGGTGGTACGTCGGGAAATTACAATATCCCGTGTAGCGGAGCCCGGTGGGACGTCGAATTGACGCGGCTTGGTGTCGCTAAGCGGAGCGGGATTCACATGGCGGGCGACAACCGATTCACGAAAAAAATCCCCGGGGTGCCCGAGTCAGGGACTCAGGCGGTTTGTGGGCGTAGAACTACGTGAACGCGGAACACGTAGTTCGGTGAGTTAGAAGATCTGCGAAAGATTTTCGATACTACCCTCCGGTCGACGAAGGGTATCACGAGATTTCCTCCAGCCGTTGTTCAAAAGACGCTTTTTTAGTTTGAGGAAAACGAGATCAAAGAACTCAACTGCGGGAACGGGATTCGGTCGGTAGCAACCTTCGAAGACTTCGGCAAATTTTCTAAACTCAGAAATGTTGACGAATGACATCAAAATCTACTTATTACTCAACCGACAAACTTCAATCGGATATACGGTCCGATATCTGCACCGAGTGCGGCGTCGTTTTCCGCTTGGCAACCCGCAATTCGGACGGCAACCGGTTCATGACCGAGTGCCACGCTTCCTCGTGGAGGATATAAGGATTGAAGAACATCGCGACTATGCGTATGGAAGGTACATTAGATTCCATGACCATGTCCGCCTAGGAGAAACGCTGCTACATGATCTGCTCTCTCGATGAGATCTCATATGCCGATCCCAAGGAACAATCATTGCATGTCCGATGGAGGATTTTTCGAGTATCGCGAGGCCGCGCATCCGCATCTAGACAATGATGGGGATGAATTAGTTGAAGACGAATAAAATGAGGTTCTTAATGGAATGTACGAAACCTTAAAATGATCATGATTCGGCATTGTAAGGATGGCTTCCCTTATCCTCCTTTTCGAGACCATCACTGGGCGGCGGCACTCGAAAAAGAGAGCTCTTCATTCTGGAATGATTTGTCCCAACGCGATAGACACACGTTCATTCATTCACAATGCTGCGACAGGACGACAGCACCGTCTAAAAAGTTTATCGTTGGGTGAACCACTCCCTCCCAATCGTCCGCTAAGCCGTACGGCCCGCCGTGGCTAGATTCTCTAAGCACCACGTTGCGTCCTGCCTGACAGGTGATCTCCTGAGGACCACTTCGGTTGAACTGAACTACGACTTCTCGCCCTTGTTTGCTACGGGAATCTGCTTCTTATCGCTTGTCTGAACACTGTTCGTTTTCTTATGTCGGGATTACGGCTGACGATGTATTAGGCGCAACTCGTTCTTTTTTCTTCACGGAGTCCGGCATCCTTAGCTTGCTAGTCAGAAGGTTCTCCGCCGGTGTCCTTCCACGACCATCGACATCGACCAATGAGGGAAGGAAACGCACGAATGTAGTAGCCAAGGCTAGAATGAACGACGAGAGTCCATTCTCATAAGAGGAGATATGAAATGGAGAACGCGCGCACATCGTTCTTCGCTGTCATTGTACAACCTCAACCGGAGGTGTTAGTTGTCTTCAACATCATCGCAGGGTGGAGGGAGAATCGAGGAAAGTTTCAACGATTAATTTAGACAAAAACTGAGGCGATCCTGAAGAATAGATCCATCTCTAGCGGAGGAGAGATTCTCCGCAAAATATATGTTTAAAATCAGAAACAGGGAATTTCTGGGTCCATCAATGGACATAGCGTTTCCAGAACAGTTGATTAGGACTAATCAAGGTATGCTGAGGGTTTCTTGCCCTCAGTTTTTTCAGCCTCCGAGTCTTCGTTCCGACGTTCTGCGAGAACGAGCCTACTTCTTGGCCTGTATTTTATGAAATAATCTAGATAAGGGGGAAATTGATTAGCATGAACGGTGCCTCATTCTCAGCCGGACATATTCAGCCATCACCATTTTCATTGTCAAACGCTCTGTTTCAGAGAAATAAGCTCGACAAGTTTGTTACACGGGTGACTCGCATGGGAAAAGTGCGTAAGCCTCTAGCAGACGGCCCCAGCACATACGCATGCTATCTCCGAGATTCGAATTTTTTCGAGCTTTGGCCCCCCAATACTCCCCATTGAAGTTGGTGCCCGTTACCGGGGGCTATAGCGTAGTTCTACGCTAAAAACTCGCGCGGCGCGAGAGCTGATCCGGGGGCTCGGATGTGGTCAAGCCAAATGCAGAGAAATATTTCCGTCGAGAGAACTGGTAGCTCACGGCCTAGTGTACCGCGCTCGACCGAGAATCAGCTCAATGAACCGGATCAAGATCGTAGATCTCCATGTGTGGCCGATGAAGATGTCCCTTCTGAATCCCTCTTCAGCAACGGGCCCCTGCCTAAAGGGAGGCTCCCGCAACCAGACACCCCGTCCGCCTGACAGGACCGGATGGGCGGCGGGTCCCACGAAAACGCGTGAGCAGGGGGCAACCGAAAGGTTTGCGGCGAACTTCCGGATGCGAGACAAATCTATCTCGGAATTCTCCTGCCGTCAAGTCGATCAGTATCCAGCCGAGCTGAACTTCACGGCACCGAATCGCCTCCAAGAATGACCCAAGCCGAATATTGCGATGGAATAGGATTTTCTCCGACCTCGGGATTCCTTTTCCCTCCGGCAACTTATGGTTCGACAGCTCCCTACGAAATTTCTCCCTCCCTGATTATCCCGAGACAATAATCAGATTACGGAACCGTTCCGTTTCGAGAAGAAGGAATGAGAAAGCTACTACATACACTGCCAGTCTCGACTATCCTCCCTTCTGATGAAGCGCAAGTCCTAAAAAAGTCTTATAAGTCAATAGCCACTACGACTATTTAGACCGATACGGGTCGTTCATGTCAGCGAACTCGCATTGGAGTGCTTAGAAATACCAGGGCGGGGCGGACTTCCTCAGGAGATCGAAGACTCTCCTATCGACTTTTTGCTACTTTATCCTTCACAGGAATCTAAACTCGCTGACTCTTTCATTCGCGATCACGATGTTGTCCGAGTCGAAATCGGAGAACCAAAATCGACCGGGCCCCCTCCCCCTCCTTCCATCTCCCACTTCCCTGTCCCTGTCTTATTCCATCATCGATCCCATTGGAGCCCAGGATTGGAGCCCCAGCCTTGGTAAGAAGTAAAAGTCATCCCGATGTGAATAATGAAAAAATGAGAGTGCCCCCCTATTTCGCCGAGCCTCGATCGGAGCATCTATCCACGCAGATAAGTACATTTAATCAGGCAGAGCTATAGCCCAAACTGGAATCATTTCTCTCCTGTGAAATGCCTTTGGAAGTCTCGATGCGCGGCTACTCCGTTTATCAACCAATACATTGCTCTTGAGATGAAACCTCCCGATTTCGCATCATTCGGCCTGGGCTGATCCCCGCGGAATTCTCCAACTTCTCAGGAGCACGGGGAGCTGAAAGCGTTCGCAGCGTGTCGAGCCGCAGCACACGCTCGAAAGGCTGTCTAAATAACTGGTCTCTCACTATATCATGTCTGTTCACTAGGACATGCGATTCCATCATGTCCCAAATATTTTTATCGCTCAAAAAAATATTCGTCCGTCAGGGTGCTCACGGACAAAAGGAATCTTTGTGGAGATTTGAGTTCGGACGGTGAAAAATGCCTATGAGGATTTTATTACTATTATTTCGGGAAGAAGATCCTTCCGTCCTCTGGTTATCTCTGCTGACACAAGGGGCTACATTGGTTCAATTCTGACCGAAGTCTAGGGCACAGCTTTTCCAGAGCCAGAGCTGAGAGAGACTCCTCGGTGATTCTCTCGCAATTTGCGATCGCTAGCTTTCTCAGACCGGGGACGTGTCGGAGTGCGTTAGCCACTGCCCTCTCTGTTAGATTATCACAACGGTCAATGGAGAGGCTTTCCAAACGAGTATGATGCTCGGTTATGCTTACGAGTCCGAAACTTGTCAGAGGACAATCCCTTATATAAAGCTCCCTCAGTGATTTCGAGCCCAGACCCCTCAGAAAGGCTCTGTCCGTGAAATTCGGTCCTCTCAAAATCTTCAGGCATCGCAACTTCTTGAGTTGATTGAATTTGAGTCCATCGGTATCTACCAGATCCTTGCAGTTGATGGCAAGCTCGACTAATTCAAGCAAATTCTGGGTAAGCATATTAAAGCTCTCTCGGGAGGGACCCTTGTGCACGCCCAAGTCCAAAGAGCGGAGTTGCCAGAGGGTAGAAAGGATTTCGTACGAGCCGCCATCGTCATCGAAGGGGGGTAGCTTCAAGCGACGCAGATTCTTCATCCTGCTCAAGATTGCGAGTGAATTGCTGGTGAAGGCCTCATAATTATGTAGGCAGAGGTCGCTCACCTTCTCAACTTTGCTAATCCGAGTCAAGAACGCATCTGAAATCAGCCCGAAGTTGGGCAGCGGGAAAGTTTCTAACTCGGGACAGTTGATGAAGATCTTCAACAAATGCTCTTCTGATAGCGCAACGCTCCCTCTAAGCGTCAGATGACGCAGCTTTCTACATCCGCTTATGGCTTCGAAGGCCTTGTGCGTGAGATCGGCGCAGCAAGTCATTTCCAACACCGCGAGGCTACGTGCATGCTTCCTCAAGAGCTTAACCACGAAGTTGTCCCGTAGGGCAGCCATGGTGATGCTCAATCGCTCGAGGTTGAGCTCGAGATTGAGGAAGAAAGCGAGCCTTTTCTCGTACTCCAAGCCAGAAGTTTCCAAGTAACAGAAGGAGAGGGACGTTAGACTCGGCGTCAGTTCGAATAAACGCTCCAGTGTTTCAATCGGCAGGTCGGCGTCTAAGGATATGTGCTGAAGATGGAACGGGGGTGCCAGCTTGCTTGCAGTTGGTACCCCGGCTTCCGGTCCGAAGCCTAGAAGGGGATGAAGGGATACGTGAGTGTAGAGAGGGCTCACCATCCCTGGCGGAGCCTCAACTATCAGATCAATTCAGAAACTGCGATTCAACCGCGCCATCAAAGACTTGCTCGGGGCGCTCCGAAGGTCTCGCTTACCATTCATAACTAAGTATCGCAGCTCTGTACAATGCCGAAGGATCTTGAATAAGTCATCGGCTGTTCCATCACAGTTCAAGAGCTCCAGCGTGCGGAGGTTCTGCCCGAGTTTGCTCCAGAAGGACTCTCCGAATCTAGCCACCTCGACTGCGGTAGGAGAATGTTGCTTCGCTCAACTCGAATATAGAGCTTATATCCAAAACTTTGACAATAATTATATTCACGAGGGGATTAAAAGTACCTTCAAACATCCTGAGCTTCCTACAATTCCGCCGACTTTTCATCAATACCTCCTCGGCCTCATCCGCGTTCGATTTTCGGATTTCTACGAGTACATCTCTGAGGCAGATGGACTGCGACACGAGCTCGGCAATCTGACGGCTGGTTTGAGCGAAGTTGAGCCGCTCTAGCGGGCCAAGGCTGAGTAGCACCGGCTCCAGTAACTGAAGGGAGAGAAATTCAGTCCTTAAAGAACAATGCGGATCGGGCCATCTGAACCCCAAGAACGTAATTGTACACCAGAATCCCATCGGGAATCAGCTGAGCCGCGATTTCGTGCGCGATTTCTGGCTTCGATTCCTGTCAAATGATAGAGCGAAGGAGGGAAAGAGAGTACGAACCTCAGCAGGTAGGGTGTCCATCATGGTTATTGTCACGATTTGTGATTCTCGGCTTCGTGCTCCGACCCAGAGCTGTCACTGATCTGGCTAGAGGTTCAGACCGCAGGAGAAGTAGAGATACAATACACTCACGGGGACATGGAGTGATTGATAGCGGACAGTAAGCGGTTTTTTATTCTGAGGTTGTTGGTGCTTATATATGTACCTAATGGTTGAGAGAGGGGGATCTACGTGGGTACCTATTGGTTGAGTGAGGGAATCTACGTGGGTACCTATTCGTGAGCATCACTCTGTCTATCTAGTTGCTTACATCTGGGATTCTAGTGATTCTTCAAAGCAGGGTTAAGAGTGGTGCACGGAACGGGAGATGTAGACGGGGTTGAGAATGCGGGGTTACGATGAGACGAGGGTTCGGGGTTGATTTGAAGCGTGCATTGATGTTGGATCGTACAGAGACGGAGACTGAGATTTACCATGGTATGGTATGGTATGGTAGTGATCCTCGCCCTCGTGTAGCCAAGAGCCACATCGACGGGCGACCCTAGTCCAGGGGCGAGTATTCTCTAGCGGATCCTTCGGGCCTCGTCTTCCCATTCCTCGAGCGTTCTCTTCGTCTCCTCACATGTCCCATCGTCACCCTCCCCCTCCAAGCCCAGCATTCTGGGGAGCTCATTCGTCTCAGAGTGATATGGTTCACATTTCATGATGATGTGAGGGATTGTTTCTACCTCTCTCCCGCATTTCGTACACAATGGGTCGAGTGGTTCGTATTTCGTTCGATGTGCTCTGGTCGGTAGCATTCCCGCTCTGGCCAGTGCTAACAATGTACTCCCTCGACTATTCGTATATAGCCCGCGTACCGTTACGCCCCTTACTTTCCATTGTCTATATAGGGTGAGACTTGATTTCGAGCTCATTGACTCCGTCCATTGCTCACTTAGTTTTTCTTTTATCCTCCTCTTCACTTGTTCATTGAAGAGTTGGAATCTCGCACTCTGATCTCCCGTATATTCTAGGGGAATATCCGTGCATGAGAATCGTTTTTTTAGAAAGTTCAGTCGGGCTGTGGCTTCTGTGTATATATTTGTAGAGGCCATCATCGATAGGCACTTCCGTGGCCATCGGTCTGAATCCATCGCACTTACTCTTGCGAAGTATCGGATTTTGCTCTGCGCCTCTCTGCTCTCGAATGTGGACCACCCAAGCTCGCCGAGCACAAACTCTGTCGCGACCTTATGTGCCGTGATCCCCATAGCCCATTTCCCTGCGGCCACCTGAGTTCTATCAAAGATGGCCGTAATTTGTCTCGATGCCCGCGATGCCAACACTGCGTTCGCGTATGTTAGCTTCGGTACACCTGTCGCCATCCATTGGATCCGTGTGATCTCGAATCTGTTGAATGTCCATATGCTTTGAGCGTGTAAGCTCTGAAGTCTGCCATCTTCACCATCTTCACTGCCATTCAGTTTTACAGCAGCTCTGATGGTGAAAGGAAAGGCTGAATAATTTCCTTGAGCGTTGAATGATTCTATGATGGATTTTATCGGGTTATCCCAAAGTGATATGGTTAGAAGCCCGCTGTGCTTGTGGACGCTGAGGTTTGAATGTCGTCTCTGCGCTTGATTCGATTGACGTGGACGTTTTCTTGCCGTGTATGTTCTCCCCCGCGCGCGGGGGCGAACGTTCGAGGCGTGATTTTGTCGTTGTCACTATTGAGAGCTACAGTGAGTTTGTCGTGCTCGTTGAGACTCGTCGTGGGTATTTCTTGTCTGATTGTTCTTTTGGTGAAGAGAAACGGAGAAAATGTCTGTACTGCATAGCCCGATGCAGTTACGGAATGGGCCAGTAGGTGCTACGCATTGAAGATTGAGAAACTGTCGATTGAAGAGCCAGAAAGCGAGAGGGCACATGCTCTTATTGAGCTTGCAACCCCTCCCGCTGCCGTCGAGAAAGCCTGAAGGCTGAGTTATGTAAATCTCTTCTTCGACATCGCCGTATAAGAAAGCTATTTTAATGTCGAATCGTCTCGAATGCATTCTGTTTGCTGCACAAATCGAGAACAGAAATCGCAAGGTGTCGAATCTTGCAACGGGGCTGAACAACTGCCCATAGTCGACTCCTTCAATTTGCTTATATCCAAGAGCTAAGAGACGAGCTCTGAAAACTTCGCCTTCGTCATCCTTGGCGGGCTTGACTTTGAATACCTATCGGCAAGATATGGGCTTCTGAGGCTTAGGTGGACTCACTAATGTCCAAACCTTGTGATTTTCCATTGATCGGAGTTCTTCGTTCATGGCCCGTTTCCATTGTTCCGCATACCGAGGATCCATAGCTTGTTTGGAAGGGGAAGGCGCTGAGCCTAGAATTTCTGTGAAATCCATCTCGAATCTTCTCGGTGTCCTAGTTTGGCTTTCGTCTCTGAGATTCATCCTCGGATTATTTCCTCGTACTGGGGGTTCTTCTTCTTCGGGTATCTCGGGCTCTGGATTTCGATTCTCCTGATTCTCATTATCATCGCTTATCTCTTGATCACTACATTGATTCTCCAAGAATTCAATGTCGTTTGAATTGATCATTGCTTGACCCATTGGTTTCTTGTTGAGAAAAGATACATCCTCCGTGAGGAAAATTTCACGCGTGCTCTCTTGTAAGACGCGATAGCCATCAATTCTTTCTGCATATCCGACCATGATGCCGGGAAAGGCTTTAGGTTGCCACTAACTCTTTTAAGGATCATTCTTATAGAAGTAGCATCTCGAGCCGAATGGATGCAAAGACAGGTTGCGCGGAACATTATATAACGTTACGAAGGCTGATTTGCCTGTTACCTCGCAGATGTTGGTCTTATTCTTAACTGTTCAATGAAAGTATGCTCGCACTTGGAACTTTCCCCCTAACTTTTGAAGGCCTTGATGGATTACGATGAAACTTTGTGGAAGAGATTCCTCTCTTCGGGGGCCACAATTCTGCGTCAAGCGATCCAGAATATTCCGATCGAGTGGGAGAAGCCAATATTTCCCCTGGAAGAAACGCAACATTTCCACCCCAAATCTGTAACAAAAGTATGCGCGCACCTCGACCGATGGCGTTTCCCGCCCGGCTAAGGCACCGGGGCGACTAATCCGAGGGTTTTGAATATCGCGGAGTCTCATCGCACCTCGATGGGGACAGAATCGCCGGTCAAATTCACCATCCGATTCTCAATGTATCCAAGAAGGTCCCCGTCGAACTCATTTTGACATACATGGCACATTAGCGAACATGACAGTCATACCTCGAAGGAGGAGTTTGACCGGCGATTCTGTCCTCATCGAGGCGCGATGAGACTCCGCGATATTCGAAATCCTCAGATTAGTCGCCCCGGTGCCTTAGCCGGGCGAGGAACGCAGTCGGTCGAGGCGCGCGCATACTTTTGTTACATATTCGGGGCGGAAATGTTGCATTATTCCCAAGGAAATTTTCGGCATCTTCGACTCGATCGGAATACTCTGAGTCGGTTGACAAGGAATCGCAGCCCCCGAGGAGAGGAATTTTCTCCACAAAGTTGCATCGAAATCCATAGAGGCGTTCAAAAGTTAGAGGGAAAATCCCAAGTGCGCGCATACTTACTTTACACCGAGTACACGGCGCATTGGCACGTTATCTGCCCATAGAGTTCGGTTCAACTGAGCTGCTGTAAGCATGGTTCTCGCAAGCTTCGTAATTGTTTGATTTCTCCTCTCGGCTGTTCCGTTCTGTTGACTTGTTCTGGGATTGCTCACAATGAGTTCTGCTCCTATTCTGTTTAGCTCTCTTTTAACTTTGGAGTTGATGAACTCTCAACCTCCATCGCACATCAAAGCTTTGATTTTTCCGCCCATTTCCTTTTCGAACCATTGAATGTATTGGATGATGTATTGAGGTGCTTCATCTTTAGATTTGAGGATATATAGCTTATTGAAGCGAGATTAGATCTATAATGATCGTATAGATCCATGAAGTATTTCGATCTGTCGAGAGATGGCCTCATGGGGCCACACAAATCTGGGTGAATTATTTGCCCTGGCAATTGAGGTCTTGTGACTGAAGGTTTGAGATGATACGATGCTCGATTAGGTTTTCCCTGATTGCATGATTCACATTGAGTATCGTCATTCTTGAATTTCAATCCCTGTTTTACTAACGTGTCTGACTCATCATTTATGCATGTGTCTGAAAACTTCGTGTGCTTGCTTGAGAAAGGGGTTTTTCGCGAGTATGGACGTGTTAGCTTGTGGAGTATTTCGGAGAGATAGGGGGTGCCGTTGATCACCATGAGGCCATTGTCGGTATTTGCGGAGAAGGCGTCTGAGGAATTTTCGAGAGTGATTCATGTCTCATTTGCTTCCATGGTCCAGCCGGATCGCGACGAATTACGACGGAGAGTCGGAACGAAGAGGACTTCATCAAGGTCCAAAAGGTATCTTTCTCCGAAGGATTTATTTCAAGCTTGACGGTGCCAGTCGCAAATTCTCGGGGAATCTTTGAGCCGCCGACTCCTACCTTGACAGAGGTTTGAAGCATTTCGTAGTTCGAGAATGATTCAAGAGAACTGCAAAAATGGTTCGACGCTCCCGAGTCGAGAATCCAATAATTGGATACTTCTGATGTCGAATTACTGAATGCTTGAGTGGATAAACTCCGAGCTCCTGTATGATTGGCTCGAAAGTGACTATTTCTGGAATTCTGATTTTGAGGTCCATAATTTTCCCTGTTTTGTTGTTAGGTCTTCGATTATTGTTAGAGGGACGACTTGACTGGCGATAGGGGAATTGGAAGAATGGTTGTTATTAAACTTAGGCCTATAAGAGGGTCCTGGGTTCTGATACTGGTTTGGACGGGAGGGCGCATAGTAGAAAACGGACGGGTTATTGTTATTCTGATTTGAACTGCGATTGTTGTGATAGTTTTGCCTCGATGGATTGAAATTTCTATTATTTCCATTGAGAGATCCGTTATTTCTGATCAAGGAACTATTGTTGGTTTCTAGAACGGCATTTGAGGCGGGTTTCTTCGTTTTCGATGGCTCCATAAAGATTGAGGATCGTTTGCCGTTCACTAGGGGCGGCTTTCTTCGTTTTCGATGGCTGCATAAAGATTGAGGATCGTTTGCCGTTCACTAGGCTGAGTTCCCAGGACTGGATGAAGTTAGCCCAGGTGTCAGGCGAAGCCTCCAGGAGACGAGAGGTTATTACGGTGTCGTCGAGAAGGCCACCGACCTCAGTGACCTCCTGTAGAAGTTTTCTGAATTTCGTAGGATTTTGGATTGGAGTTTTGTGCGGACTGAATTGGAAGTTGAAGACGGAACGCATGGTCGCCTGAATTTCGGTTGCTGTGGTTCGTTCGAATCCTTGACTATCAACTCATACAACATTGGAGCTGTGAAAGCGCCAACGTTGCCATTGAGCCTGAGGCGAACGAGCTCAATATCCATGGAATTGAGTAATATCGTAGGAGCGATGCTATTGGCTTTTGCAAAGGGGTTGTCGGGCAAGATGCTTCGATTTCCTACCTCACAACAGTCAAGCTCAGCGGAAAGTAAGACATTGATGACTGTTTTTCAATCAGGGAAGTTGCTTCCGGAAACGTCGAGACGGAAAGCAGCGTAGTTCGGCCGTTTCGTCGCCAAAGAGTACATGTTCATCGTTGTCGGCCATGACTTGGTGTCTCGTGGGAGAATCGGTATTGGACGTTTCTGAGGTGCTGAGGAATTCGAAAAGCAGATTATTGTGCGCTAATGAGGAAAACGAATGCCGAGCAACGAGAACTGGTTCTGGAAGTCATTCATCGTTTGCATGAGTCCAACCGTGAACCCATCCAGATCTTCCTCACTGGACCCGCAGGGTGCGGTGAGACATTCACACTAAGAGCGTTGATGGAAACATATAATCATATAATCGATATTAACAGCAACACAATATTATATGAACAACGCGTACATCGCCACGGCGACAACCGGCGGAGCTGCGGTGGGGATAGATGGCTCAATGCTTCACTCCGCCTTCCGCCTCACGCTGTCGAGACAGGCGAACCCGCTATCCACAGAGGTTCTACAAACATATTGGCATCACCTTCGAAACGGTAGATGCGTCGTAATCGACGAGATGAGTATGGGCGGCTCGCATGTTATCCATGCCGTCAATTCCCGACTGCGAGGTACGACTGGTAAGTATGATCAGAGTTTCGGCGGAATGAATCTCATCGTGTGGAGGTTTGAAACAGCTTCCACCAGTGAACGCTACTCCAGTCTTCAGCGCGACAAGCAAGCGGGGCAAGCGGTCCTTTGGCAAGCACTGGATTATTTCCCATTGGTAACTGTTGTGCGTCAGAGCGACGCAACATTTTCAACCATGTGGACGAAAATCGGTAGCGGTGAGGATCTGGATGCCAGGGAGACGGGAGTACTCCAATCCCGATTCAGAACACGTGAATGGTGCAATGCGGATTTGTCAAGCGAAGTTCTCCGCTTGTTCTTCAATAACGCTGATGTCGAGACGTACAATTCGAAGGCCATTCCCAGAAATGAAGGAACGGAGGTCCTCATAGCATCGGATACGATGACAGTATACAAGACGAACGAAGAGCGAAGAATATAATAATCGGTAAAGTACACCGTATGGAAAGTAAGGATACCGGCAACCTTCCCTACAGCATCACGCAGACAGAGGGTTATACCTATATGCTGACGGCGAATGTAGACGTCGAGGATGGTCTTGTGAACGGAGCAATCAGAAGTCGTCTGCTACGGCAGACAGGTGACAGCTGCTTACGTGAGCCTCCGTGCCTTTTCTGGATTTTCCACCTATTGGACAGGACAGCCCCCAGAGACGAAAATGCATCTCCCTGTCCGGTTTGCATCAGCTTTTTCCGCTGTCTAAACCATCCCTCATGATCTAGACAACCGCAGTGGTGTGCGACATCTGCCCCTCCTGCAGCCTCGGTTTCCACAGAAATTGCAGGCCTTTTCTTTGTACCAGGTGTGGATTGGCCACCCACAGATCCTGTGCCTCGGACTTCACGAAGCTACGGAGTCAGGCCGGGGATACGGATCTCGCTTTTCTATGCGCTCGCTGTACGGTGCCCGGGTCCAGACACCACCGCGGTCACCCTTGTCGATCACCTTCGTGGATGTTTTGAGTACGGGCAGTGGCGTACGCAGGAGGTTTTTTTGGGGGGGGGGGCTAGATCGGGTCTCCGCATGGGGCTGAAATCCGATATGGCGATTCGCTCCTATACTACAGCATTACGAAGAAACCATCTGGGAGGGGCTATAGCCCCCTTAGCCCCCCCCTGCGTACGCCCCTGGATACGGGATGGATCCTCGAGTCGGGATCCTTGCGGTCCAACGAACTTACCTGGGCCACCTTTTCGACTCCTTGAGTCTTTGTCGCGATTCGTTGCCTGTGACTCATGCTTCTGAGTTGAGCGGCTGAGCGACACTCAATCTGAATGCCCGGTCTGCTCATATCGAAGATCAGTTGGAGAAGATGTCGTCGCTATTGCTCGTGCGCAGAGTTCTCGGGATGCTGATATCGGAAATTGCGATCGCCCTGGGTCCGACTACCCATCCGCTCGAGCCGGGCGTGGTCTGCTCGCATCTGAGGATGCACTCACTGCGCAACTGGAAACGCTCGGGTCCGAGAACCTAGCTCTTCGCGCGAAACTGCGCACCCTCGAGGGGGAAAGAGGAGCCTCCGAGCAGGACAGGACCAGACTTCTCGCTGTCAATCGTGATCTTCTCAGCAATTTGCGGGTCTTTGAGAGCTTCTCGTCAAGCCAGGTCACTCCCCCTACCCGGCGGGAAAAACCGGCGAGCTCATGGGACACCATCTCTACGAAAGCAGCGAGGAAACCAGCTCAGCAAAGAGACCGGCGGCGAACCGAGATTAAGTCTGATCAGAGTGATTTCCACCTCCCCCACCCCGTGCTGCTCTCACGATTACTCCAGCATCCACTTCCCCTAACTCATCTCACATTTCTGTTACTCGCACACGTCCGGAAACCACCCCATCCACCATACTCGACTTCGCGCGGAAAATATGTCCCGAAGTCATTTCGTGGGGAAATTCAAAGCCAGGGCGGGCTCCAAGATTGCGTCTCTTGCGATAAAAATTCCTTTCGGGAATCAAGCTCTGCTCGCTGAGCACCTGTGGCCGTCCGGAGTCCGCGTTCAACCGTTCAAGGGACTCCTAAAGGAGGAAAACCTGCTGGATATTATGTACTAGGTTCGACTGACTACCACGACCCGAAGAACCGAAGATCCTACGCTGTCTTTACATGAACGCCCGCTCCGCTGCCAAATCCGGTGCCCTCGACTCTCTCAAACTCTCTTGTGAAGCCATCTCCACATGCTGCGCAACAGATCTTCCTACCATCGTGATAGGTGATCTTAACCTCCCAAGGATTAAATGGAACTCAGCATCTCTTCCACTCAACCCAAACACTGAGGCATCTGCGTTTCTCCTCTGCTGTCAAGAGAATAACCTCCATCAACTCGTCGAGGAATCTACTCACCACTCGGGATCCTTACTCGATCTCCTCCTTGCATCTGACCCCAACCTCATCGAAAATCTCCACATTATCGACCCGCCCATTCTTTCTGACCACAAGGCCATACTCTACGGAGTGTCCCTTGGCCTCATGCCCCTCGATGAGGATGTCAGTCGCACAAATTATCACGACATGGATCGTCTATCAGTGCCGACGCACCTAGACAAATCGCGTGGAAAGTTTTCCTCAGCGGGTGTGGAGATGCGGACACTGTGTTCCAGAAACTCGCCGATCTCTGCGTTCTGCTGATTCAAAGATTCGCACCACTGCGTACTGCATACACTCACAAGGAATCTCCTCAGACTAGAGTGCAAGTTCGCCGAGACCCGCCCAACCACCTCCCTGGCGATGAAGCTGCTCAAGGCTAATCGTCGCCTTCGCTTGATCGATTCACCGAAGCGTCGCGTCTACCCTTCATTCTTCCCACCAACTGAAGGAAAAGGAGAGAAATAATTTGAGCTCATCCTATACAATGGTATCCATCCGATGTTCACCAGAAAAGAAAATCCCCCGGAATCAGAATGTCCCGTACAGAAGCAAATTTCTGTAGAGCGATTCCGAAACGCCTTGGAGGATCAGCGATGAGGCACAAACTTTGATATTCTTAGAGCAATCGCCTCGTCGGCGTCGCGCCGTCCTAACTCATTACTGATTTTCGGAGCTCAACAAGCGCGAATGTGGATACAAGAGTTTTTATTCGCTGTTCGCTCTTCGGGTTTGGATGTGATGACCTTCCATGCATGGCCATCTGCTGCGATCGTCCTCTAAGTTAGTGTGAATGAGTTTTCCGATTTCCTTCTTCCTCGCCCGGGCTCGTGGGCTCGATCCTTTTCTCTGTCCATGGGTCTTCTCCCTGTCGTCACTTTTCCGAATCTTTCGACTGCCGAGGCTCTCACTCACCGAGAGGCCGAGCTCTCGGGACGTAGTCAGGCGATATTCCGGAGGCGAATCTGTCCAGAACCTCCATAAGTCCAGGTGGGATACGCGTTTCTATCAAGTCGTGCATCATCTTCCTCCTGATGTAAGGAACATCTCCGTGGCTGAAGCCTCCGATACAACTACGTGTTGCTAATTCCGCGTATTTCAGGACAAACACCCCGCAATCGGAGGGATTCACTTGTTTCGGGAGATCATGTTCGGTTTCCATTTGCCAGTCGGAGAAACACACTTGTGAGTTTTTCTTGACGCGGAATTCATCGGTGAGGTATGCCAGGACGACTACCAGAAGCGGTTCGTTTTTGCCCCCATTTGGATCCATGAAAGTGATTGTTTTCTTCCTCTGATCCACGACTACCAAGCACAAATGCGCTCCGACGTGCACTGGCACGAGTAAGATGTCGTGTGCGAAAATGTCTTCGTCTCGGGTCCATTCACGGACAGCATTGTAGCCCATGACGAAGTAGCGTTCCAGAAAGAACGTGCTGAACGTGTAGATTTTCGGGGAGAATGGGATTTCTTTGCTCTGGATCACGAGCAGATTCAGGTAGGCGTTCACGATCGTATCGTTTAGCCAATTGTCTCCCACCAGAGTTTCGAGATCCGAACGGGTCAAGGGCTGCCCCGCGAAGTGGGTCAAAACGTGGTTTGCAGGACATTTGAGAGCGTTTTCAATAGCCTGGTTCATTTTTTTGGTGATCGGCGGGTATTGAGGGTCGAATGCGTCGAAAAACCCGGAGGAGCTTTCGGAACACAGCTCGATATTATCCTCCTCGGACGGGCTGGCTTCTGTCGGCTTCATTGACCTTGCGTTGTTCCGCATCCGTCTATCCACGTCCCGTTTCCGGATCGGGCCAGCAGCTCCCTGAAGTTCACTTTGAATTTTGGAGGATTCCATTTTTTGCACGGGAATGGAAGAGACTTCTACAGAGTACGTTGCACGCTTCGAGTTAGAAGACGAATGCTTGAAACATGGCGAAATGGTCATGGTCCATGCGATGTTGGCGGCGTCTCAATGCACTCGCCCTTTTTTTGAGGGTAGTGGATGCGGACGAAGTACGAGATTACCGAAGTAGTTAGCGAGATGTTCGCTGGAATTCGAGGAGCCGCGGTCGTCGAGATTGAACTCCAGAATCTACCCCTAGTACCGCGCTCGATTACGACCCACAGCCATAACCACATTCCACAAGTTCATTTCTTACACGGATGACCGAGCTCTGAGATTGATTCGATAGATCGATTGTGTGTAGCCATAATTAATGATTTCCACCGGTTCTTCAGGAATCCAAAGGATTCTCTCGGAGCGGCTCTTGCGTCAGAGACGCAGTAGGAATCACGAAATTATTACTTGCTCCCATGCACAGCAGCGCATGCGATTATCTTCTTAAGCAACCGGACCACGAAAGCATGTTGCTCGTATCGATTCTTCGAAAGCGATCTCGGAATCTGCGAAAAGCAGACCCTCCACGTTTATTGCGATTCGATCTACTCCGAAGTAAACCGCATTTCAATGCTTCATCGCGATGCAGTTCATCCCAACATACTCTCCTGTAGAGTTGATTCCACCGAAAATTGATTTCTTTATGGAGCGCGATTGTTTCCGGAGCTCACGATTAACTTCGGAATCGAGCATAGAAGCTCCAGAGCTTTTGACAAGTCTCGCCCCTTGGAGGAGCCTGATGTGTTTTCTCCCGGTTATCGGTGTTCATTCGCCCCCGAGGTCTCCGGATCCTGGGTCCGGAAACACGAATCTCAGAGCTAGCCTGCGCCTCGGAGGCGGGCAGCACAGTACAAGCTCACAGGAGAGATCACAGGGACGTGCAATGCGGTGGCTCCAGTCGTCAAATACGATCTGCGCGTCGCTATTTTTGCCCGGGATTCATCTTCGTCAAGTGACCGGCTCTGACTGCGGGGGTCTCCACCCTGGAATCCGCAGCGCCGGACGATCTCGGGACTCACAGCCCAAGCGAAATGCCTACTCCGAGCTCGCTACTAACTCGTATAGAAGTTCTCAATTTTCGCCCCTACAGTTTGGTGCCGGGGCCGGAAAGCCGAAACTGTTCACATTCATGCAGCCCTCAACTTATTGCAACGAGCGGGCTCGGAGAGTGTGATTCTGAGCTGATGTTCACATCATGGTATAATATTCACATAACGTTACGTCAGAGTTTAAGAAGCCCGAGACACCTGGTGTCACGGGAGCGGGACCGCCTCGAATCAGCCGCTCCAGTTTCTCTCGGCCACTCGGCGAACACACTATTCGATCTTTCGATGAGAGAAACTAGGATAGGGTCACGCGGATGACCACACGAATCGTTTAATTATGTAAACGACCCAAGCCTCAAGGATTCGACTGTATCCGGGTAGCAAACCTGAGCCGCTGTCGGACAAATTTCCTCTATCTGGAATTACTTCCCTACATTCGAGGACAGGCCGATCGATGAGGATGACCGCGGAAGAATTCTGACGACGCTGTCATCGTGATTGAGCATTTAATTCACTCGCACGCTCCGTCGGACGAGGCGGGAAGTCTTTCTCGGAAATTTATTGATGAGATCGATTCTAATGCTGGACCTGATTGTCTGTTCGCTATCGCATCGGGCTGCGTCATAAGCGCCCCGAACCAGCCCTACAACGACTCACAGGTAGAACGGACAGTTGACGGGGTCTTCGATTCGACGATCAGTAGAGTCACGAACAGAGGGAGCTCGCGAGTACCTAAATACCTGCACGACCCCGCTCTCTCGAGTCTCCGATGGGCGTCGTATCGGTCGTTCCCTTACGATGCCTGTCGTGCTCCTAGGAATTCCTCTCTTAACACGGAACAGTATGCGCCGTCTTCACAAGTCAATGCAAAAGTCGCAAAACAGAATTTATTCAATCACTTCACCTCGCATCAGATTTAGTTCTTAAAACCGATAGGGAAGGAAAATAGCCGCTTTTGCACTCTTGCAGGCTCATCAGAGGAGGGTATCTGGTCTCAACATTCGCAGATGCATTTGATGAGAATTTTGTTCTCTTCGCCGCATTTCCCGCAGGATATGATGCATTTGCAGAGACACATCTTCCTCGGCTTGTCCACGCTGCACGACGCGGAATCACAGCAATCCTTTCGGCTCACAGTTTCGCGACAGTTCTTACAGGGGCACACACATTTGCATTCTGCGCAGCTTTCCCCGTCTTTGCGGCAATTCTTGCAAGCGCTGGAACATTCGCAGCCGAAGTCCTTCTTCGTGTCATCGCCACAGGCGCCGCAGGAACAGTTACACTGGCAATCTTTGCAACATTTGCCGTTCTCGCAGCACATCTTGCAGTCACTGGTACATTTGCAGACGCAAGAATCCGGCCTCCTCGGTCCCTCGCCGCAGCTCTTGCAGGTGCATAAGCACCTGCTATCGTCGCAGCATTTCCCATTCTCGCAGCACTTCTTGCATTTGCTCGTACACTTGCAGGTGCAATCTCCGTGCGAGTCCGATGACTTCTCACAGCTGTCGCAGACACAGCGGCATTCACCGACGCATGTCACCTCTCCTTCGGGTTCGTTCTTCTTCGGAAGCGGTTTGCAAACGCAAATTACCAGGTGTTCCTCCCCATCCGATGCTCGTTCTTCGCGTTTGATTGGCCCCCTGCAGTTGCCTTTGCATTCCGAATCACCCATGGTCGCAGCCTGGAAAATATGGGAGTTTGCCTTAGTAGAAAGGTGCTGACTCGAAATCTAATCATCGTCACAGAAAGAGCCCACTCATGAATCTCGATGACTCGTTCTTGCGTATGCAACACTCCCCTTACTTTTTCGTTTTCAGATGTTCTTGATGCCGGTGCAGATGGCGCCGTTCCTCTCTGCTCCGTAATATATACCTCTTTTTGACAATGGCGACAAATCCGGTGGTGCCGTGTGCAAAATCCTAGCGAGCCGTGTGCAAACTGCGCCTGCACTGTCGGAGCGAAGCGCTGTCTTGGTGCCACGTGGGTTCCATTCTTGTTGTACGTCACGGTCCTCATGAACTCCTCCATGAAGAGCTGATCCTCCTCCCTATGTTTGTCTAGAATAGCTATCGCGCATCTCTCGCGCTTCGACAAACTGACGGAAATCTCGCTCAAGTGTTATCATTGGATTCAGCGTATCTAGGTGAGGTAGTCTACAATGAAGACACAAGATCTGTACGTGATTGGCTGTGATGCGACGCTTGGGTGGAGTTCCGTTGCTGCTGCTTCCGAATAGAGCCCATACGAAGGCCGTTTCGGCGACTTCTAAGTTCTTCGCAAGTCGATGCGCGTTATGTGTCTGGATGGCCACCAACTGGTCAGACCCAATAAGAATGTCTATGGGGGTCTCTGGATCATGATCATCAGAGGATTCGATGTTCAGAGACCGGTCTCGGTGACTTTTGTGGCCTGATTCAACATCTTCAGAGCTACCGGGATCTTCGGAACAATTTTCATGTTTATGCCCTGTCTTGATGTAAGATTTTTGCGATCCCGAATCGAATAGAATCCGCACTCGTGCTTTGTGTCCTTGTGGACCCATGGCGGTGGCCTTCACGGAGATGCAGTATTGCGCCTCCTCGTTGCCTCCATCCTTCATCCTTTTTCTCTGAACGCTCCCGCAGCCGCGGACACCACTATTCTTGGATCGCATAAAGCCGTCATGTGTCTACGTTTTTTGCACTGATCGCAGGTGGGTGCTCTGCGACATGCAGCTGCTCGATGTCCCACCTTCGAGCATTTGTGCGATCGGTTTTCTTTGAGGAGGAGCTCTTTTTTCCGAGTTAGGCTCATGGATTTGTCGGCGCACGCTGAAGTCACATGGTTGTTCGCTTCGCAGAAGAGGCATTGCCGTGCTTCGGTCAGTTGTGTGACTGGTCTTCGCTGGATTTCGTCATTTCTTCTACTGTCACTTGTTCTCACTTCTGTCTTTAAGCTCATGGTTGTCGGGGTATATTTTTTTGCTCTCCGCCGATACTTGTGTCCAATCCTCTGACATTGTAGCCTCTATGCGGCATACATATAGCATGAATTCTGAAATGCTACTCGTATGTGGTATAGCCGGAGTTTATCATGTGACTCGAAATCCCGGTTCCTCCCGAGGGCCTGGGATGTCGCGAGTGCTCATGGAGGACGTCTTCCCGCATGGTGAAACATATCGGGCACAGCGTTCTGCTCGTAAGTTCCGAGGGACTGATCCACGATTGTGATTTCGAATTTTCGCGCTCAGATGCGGCCGTGTCTGCAGCACACCACTGTTTGTTGCTCCTCGGTGGATTCTGCTGTCGATGTTGATGCGCATGTTGCCGGATCGACTGACAGTGCCGCTTCTCAGCATCTTCCCCCTGCTGTCCTCGGAGGGTGTTTCTGTTCGGAGCGGCTCTCATACTGTCACTGTTGTCGTATGACTCAGGAACGAGAGATCGTGAAGTGAAGTGTAATTTCCCACCGGGGAACACCATGGAACTCCTGACGAAACTCGTACTTTGCGCGCTGCTGATCGGCGTTGTGACAGCAGCTGAGAAGAGCAATTTCAAAGAGAACGAAAAACCGAAGATTTCAAGCTATTCGAAGGAAGCCAACCTTCCCCGGAAAGAACGGCCTGCCAGAGACAGCGATGTGAAGTCCGATGACAAGGAGGACTATCGACCACCGAAAAACTTCGCCACATCTTCCGAAAGGCTCTTCAAGATGCAGAAGATTCAGAACATTTGGCAGAAGGGTCAGAAGGTGAGCATGGCCAACAAGATCTGACACTGAGTGAGTCGGTGATGCTTCGCGTCCTCTTGACATCTGCCCCGTTGGTATTCCGGATAGAAGCGGCGATCGGGAATAGTGGCATCGCTACACGAAAATCCCCCCGGCGGAAAATCTCGTTCCGGACGTACCTGGTCAGTCCCGTTCATTCGGAACGTAGGAAAAAACGCCCGAAAAACCACACCCTCGGCCCCATATACTGACTCGCTTTCGATCTGCGTGCTCCACGACGAGAGGAATTGACGTTATCGCTGGGAAGTTGACATCTCGACGAAATTTCTACAGACATGATGTATGTCACTGTCTAACCTGCTGCTCCCGCGCAGCATCCACCGTCATGTCCATAGATTTCAGTCTCGCTCCGGTGGAGTCCTTCTAGGTATTCAGTATTTCTCAGGCCCGTTGAGATGGATCTGAGTGTTTTAAGCCGAGTCACGCTCGCTCGCTCGCTCTGTATTCGATCCCGTGCACGGCGTGAACTTCATGGCTCCAATATTCGTGATCGATGACTGCTCTTCGGAACCACCTATCGTTACCTAACCGAGTGATCAAGCTTCACCTGGACTGTCCATTCTCCCTACAGGCGCTCAATGAAGCCAAGCTCAAGGCTCTCTATCATGACCTCAAAACCCAAGACAAGCAGGAAATCGCTTTCAAGAAGATCAAGTCCCAGGGGAAGGACAAGGATGGCCTGCAGGAGGCGGCTTTGCGAGTGCAGCTCGCCGGTATCGTAGAGAGATTTGGTCTCGCTGCGAGCTTTCCAGAGCACCGAAAAGGAGCCGATGATGACCACAAGATCGAATCGATGTTCAAGGATAAAAACTCAATAAGCTCTGGAGCAAGGTACTGAGGACAGGGGCCCTGCTCATACACAAACGATTTGACGCCTATCTATCCGGTAGCTTCTCCGGAGAATTTTCCATAACTTTCGCTTCTGATAGATTGAAGCTGCCGGCCTCGATGAGAAGGAGATGAAGATCCTTAAAGAAGAGCTTGACCATCATCAACTGAAACAGGATCAGTATTATGCGTTCGTCGATAATCTGCACGAAACCCGCGAGAAGACTCCTGAAATGGAAAATCACATCGGTCATTTCCTGGAAGAAGAGGAGGAGGGCGCAATCCGCCGCGAGAAGAAGGGTAGGTCTAAGGACAAGAATGGACCGCCGAAGGAGCACCTCGATCTTGCGGAGGACGTAAGTTAGATACGTTTGTTTTCAATTTTCAAACAGATTTCTCGAGCATCCGTGAGAGAGAGATATCGGAGCTCTCTATGACTCATGCATCGACAATGATGATATGCGCGGAGTTGCATCCGTCTCCTGCTCTCGCAAGGCGAGTCGGAAGAATTTCGCGTCCGCCGTGCATCCGGAACTCTCGAGCAACGATCTTGCTGAGAGAAGCCCGACTCGCCACCCTTCAGAGTGATTTCTCTGATCTTCTGTCTAAAAATCTTTCTGTCGACAGATAAGAGTGAAACATCGAGACTTGAAAGAAAATTTCGATAACATCGCCGAGAAAGTCCGCGCGAAACTGAACGAGAAAGAATTCGAAGATGAGCAAACGCGGAAACTATGGAAGCTCGCGAAGGAGGCTGATTTTGACGAGGAAGATTTGCTGTCGCTCAGGAGCGAACTCCACCATTTCGAGCACAGGTACGGCGGACGTGATTCCCCGATTTTGATGAATTGATTCAAGCCGGAATTATTGATGTCTGGTTCTTTTCAGGGTTCGCAAGCTGCATCGTCTCCGCCATGAAGCTGGACTCGTCGAGGACGCCGACGAAGCTAAAAAATTCAAACGGAACCTATCTGAACTCGAGAAAAAAATTGAGAAAACACATGACGAGCTGAGAGGAAGAATTGCGAGACGGAGTGAATTGTGATGCAATGAGCGATGACCTCTGGATCCTACGGCATTCGTCGTCCCTATTTCCCAGCGGATAACCCCAAGCGTTTCCCTCGCTCGGGAATCGCCGGCCGATTCTCCCTCGTCTTGGTTCCGGGAGTTCATTCAAGCATAGATATTTTCTCTGACGGGTCTGAAATCATCGACCTGGGGTATCACCCGTCAGGGAACCCGTCGTCTTTCCGGCAATGAAGGGACAAAGACTCGCTTCGGGAAATCTCCACGTTTTCTAAAGTTTCCGAAGCATGAGGCTCTGCAATAAGAAGGACATACTAGGACAAGATAGCGTGAAGGTTTTTCAAATCATCTATATACATATGCATAAAGTACATATACGCGTTGAAGTGTGTGTTCTTAAGGATATTTCCCGGTGGGCTCTGCTTCTCCGAGGTCACAATAGTTATCAAAGCCGAGCTGTTGTTGAATAAAATTAGCGGAATGAATATTAGGGGATATTAAGAGTATTCGTATTCTGTGCTGTTGAAATCTGATTCGTGTCCGCAAACCGGTTTCTCCGTGCGCTTCTCCATGCTGCTCACTCGGGAGCACCCCAAAAGGAGCATTTGCTGTATTCAATCTTTCTGTATCTTATGATTAAATCCGTAAAACCACAAGGGATCTAAATCAAGTCTTGGTGAAAGATCGGACTCGACAGCGAAATGCAATTCATTGCTGGAAATACTCGATATGATTCGATAATTTCGTCCCTAGCCTCCTCCGCGCCCCTCGGAGTCTTACACCGAGAGCGATAGTCCTTCCAGATTCTAGGGCTGAAATGTCGATGATTCGTGAACCACCCGGGAAATCGAAGCCCTTACTATTTATCAAAACGGGACCGGCTCCTCCACCGGCTATCCTAGGTACAACTCGGACGGCGAACTCTTCGACGGACTGAATAGATGAAAGATCTGCGAGTCATGCTTGATAGATAACACTGCGTTGAAAACCAGCTGGGCATGGAGGAGGAAGAAGAGAGAAATCGGAGCAGCCTACGTCCTGATCTACGATTTCAGATAGGACCTGTGCCTCTCGCGTGCGCGCGCTCGCAGAGAGATATCCCAGACCCACCCGGACTCCGTTGAGCGTATCCTGCTGATTTAGTGAATGTTTACGAAGGACTCCCCGGCTCTGCACTTTTCTAATAAGAGCTCAGTTCCGCGCGACTCACCAAGTAGCTAATAATGTGAAAATAGCCTCATCGAAAGACAATGCAGGTATGTTCGCTCAATTTTTGAATCTCGAGTCCATGCCTTCATATCCGGAACATCTTGGAGAGCATCAGAGAGTTTTGAACAGCCAGAAAACGAGACGGAGGTCGAATGTAACTCCGGAGTCTGGAGAGTCTGGGCTCGATGGATTCGCAAATCGCAAACCGAGAGCTCCGTTCGGCCTAGTGCGTTATAAGGACGACGGTGGAACAAATAACTTTGTTTTGGATCGGCCTGGTGCTAGGAAAAAAAACAGCCGTCCCGGGAGTCATTGTCGAGTTTTAAATTGAGAAGGTGTCCGAATTCCAGCATCAGCGTCGAATTTTGACGTCGCTCGTCGCGATCCACAACCCGACAAGGATGACCCACACCAATCCCCTCGGTCCCTCCCGAGGTAAACCAGCTCCTCCTTGGGCGGTAGAGGTAAGAGTGAGGCTTATCACTCAATCGCCTCAATTAATGAGACTGTGTCAGCAAACCGGGTAGGAAAAGCGTGACTCGAACCCGATGTGCGTTCATTTCAGAAACTCTTGATGGAAGGTCACACCAGAGACCAGATCATGAGCGACTGGGAAGCTCTAGTGAGAAAGCCTCACTCCTCATTTGACAGAATTGATCGGTTCTTGCGAGCTCTACGACGAGACTATGACCTTTCGTATTCAGGCATCAAAGAAATGTTCGCGCAGAAAAGATTGGCTCGATTCAGGGAAGATCAAAAGTGAGTCTCCGGCGAGGACTTGGTACTCGGTCGATACCGATGGAGCTCGAATGAGCGTGTTTTCCCTTGAGCGGAATTCGAGGGGATCGCTGACGCTTCTCCGCCTTACAGCTACCATCCACTGGCGGACGGAGGGACCGGGCCCGATATCGCGGCGGCGAAATTTCTAATGCTTCGATCAGCGGCTGTCAAGTTTAGGAATATCGATGATTGGATGACCGGCGAGGACAAAGCGTTGACGCTTCCCACAAAATATCATCCGGGTTTTATAATCGAAGCAATAGATCTAAGAGATTTCCAAATCCTCCACCGGGGCTTCGAGCACTTCGCTCGGTGCGGTGACCTGAAGTCTCTGAAGATGGTGAAGCAGAAATACGTTGATGACTTCTGCTTGGATTCTGTATCGGGAATGTTCAATTTGAGTCTCCAGTATCTCGACGTGTCCGGATGTGAGCTCGTCACAGAGAAAGGACTCGCGTGTCTTCACCGCTGCAAAAACCTTAAATTGCTCAACGCGTACAATTTGCCCGGGGTCAAGCATCCTGAGCTCCTAGCTATCCTTCTCGAGGAATCCTCGCCTGCTCTTGAAATCCGAGGTCTGGGTCTTCCGGTGAAGCAAGGGGCGACTTAGATCGAGAAGTTTTGTTCCTGAGCTCTCTGGGAGGTTTTGTGAAGTTCGGTGTATGTGAGGGAAGAGTTTGTAGAGTCGAGTGTACGAATAAAAAGGAATACAATGGCTGACGAGGAATTGTTCCCTCCTTGTGTGATTCGAAAATCCAGTTATGGCGTTTCGTTTGTTCCGAAGATAGAGAACAAGCCGCGACCTTATCCCTGACCTTTTTCCTTCTTGATGTCTGTTCGGAAAGTCGGAGGTGGTCGCTCCGAAGAATGATATACCAATAACAATGGTATATTACGTGTATCATTTAATATTTTAGGTTATGTGTGGTATAAGAATAATAATAATAATAATATAATCATGAGATGTCCTCTATTCCCTAAAGAGCTCCTATGCATAGATCGCACGATGATGGTCAAACGATTATTTATTCTGATTGTTATAATTTGGGTACACACTCACCAGGCGCATCATTCGAAGTTGTGAGAATTACTCTGCTATCGCAGATGAAGAATATGAACGACATCATGCTCGTCTGAAAATTAGCCATTTTTTTCATGCTCCGACGCTTCGCTTTGTGACAAATAGCCGATCGCTTCCCTGTCACGTTTCTGGCACCGTTTTCGGACACGCGATGCAAAAAAAATCGATTGTTGTCTTTGACACCGAATATTAACGGGGGCACCTCGTGAACTTGCGATGAAAGGGAGCGGAATAAGCGTTCTCACAGGAAAAGGGTTCGCTCCCTTCATGCCACCTCGATTTGCACTGTCAAGGGTGAGCAAGCGTCTCGCAAGCCTCAAATGTTGGAGAAAGTTGATCTGGAGCGGATGTGGTTCGCTATAAAACTCGGTCCCGCACCGAGGTCCGAGTCACTTCTCCAGATGGATTTATTGTGCGCCGGTGGACATGACGCTTCTCATTCGCTTGTCGACGCTCGTAGCATTGGTGTGGTCATCGGATGCCATAATCGTGGGTAAGCAGCGCGTTTCTCGATCGTGAAGTCAGCCGGAATCGCATCCGCGAGAGGGGAGGACTGTCTTCGGTCTATGTCGGATCTCTTTCTGTCGATCACGAGCTCGAGTTGAGAAAAAAATCCTCCGATAAGGTGTTCCCACGCGGACGGGGCAAACGACGCCTGTCGCCTACCAATGGACGCTACCGAACGGTCAGAAGCAGGTTTTCGTGAGACAGCGGGATCTTCTGTACCAGAACGGCCACGCGACGGCTGTGGTGAACCGTTATCCATGTGTCCAGACTTACGCCGTGGGGACTACCAAGCGACAGCGATATGCTATGTGCATGCCTCAGATCAGAGCAATCAATCCTCAGGTATGGAAACGATCACAATGCTACATTATGAATTTTGTCTGTGTCGTTCAAAGCGTCAGCGATGGCAAAGCTCCCATCGCATTTCTTGTCGAATGTCTGCCATGATCCACAGCCTTGCTAAGCAAAAAGCTTATTGCAGATCTATCAGAGACATCTCCGAGATCAGATATTCAGAACGCTGGTTCCTGGACCGGGGTACGGGATGGGATTTGAACATGGTTTTGGATTCGACGATCTCGGAGGTTTCGGAGGCTTACCAAACATTGGTTCATACCCCGAGATGATCAACAGAAGGAGGCGACGCATCGTCCGACGTCGCCTGATGGGGCGAGATCTCCTCAATATAAGGCCGGACTACGGGGGCCTAATGGATCAATATTCGGATTTCGATGTTGACGATTACGACGAATACTAGAGAATGTCCGAATTATTTAATTTATATATATAACTTTATGTAAAAAAAAATCATTGATTCTCCCGGCAGGCGCGTGCTTTTCTCGCTACCTCGAATCGCCCAGGGGGAGGAGTAGTGCCTTCAGATCGAGAGCCCGTATCCCGTTCGAGCAGCGTTAATTTATTCTAGGTAAGGAACGATGAACAGAAGGAACGCTTTCCGCTCGCTACCAGAAGGGAGCACCGGAAATACATAGGAATAAAAGTGTCTCGCGACAACTGTGATCTTTCCGATACGATGAGCGAGACGCCGACGGCACCGAAGTCGCAGTGTTTTCAGCCGCGAACGAATATTTCCGTGTATCGCCTCGGATGAGAATAATAATAATGTGAAATCGATCACCACTCGGTTGGGAGCCGAATTCAAAGCATGGCGGCGAGGAAATTTGCCCTCCTCCGCGGTCGAGGGCCATGGAGTACTGCGCGCGCACCCCTCCTGCTCCTGAGTTGTTCTTCCCCAGCTCTGGGCAAAGCAGTTTGGACGATGCGCCCCGCGCTGACAGGCCGAATAGTGTTCCGTTCGGTGAAATGTGTATTTCGGAAGCCGCAGTGGATTAAGGCCGTGAACGTCCACTAGGCGGCTTTCGTGACGGACGCAAACTGTAGCGACCAATCCCTGAGGAATAACAGTGCAATTTGTTCGTGGAATCTGTTAACAGAAGCGGCTTCGCAAGGCGAAACTGTAGACTATCTCGAAGAAGTTTTTTCTCGGACACACAAAATGGCGGCGCTCAGGGCTTTACGAGAGCTCGGAGTATTCGCCGTTTTCTTCATGTTTTGTGCTTCGTCGATTTCCGAGGAACTTCTACAGCTTCCGTTGAGAACGAAAACGTTCGAGGCTGCTTTCCAAGGTGAGTAGCAAATCGCCTCTGGAGTCGGAAATCCACCGGCGTTTCATAGAACGTCGTAAGCACACGCACACTGGAAGGACGCGTGTTTCGTTCGCGAAAAAGCTGCGTCTGTGAGGCTTTCGACGTACCTTCGTCCCATCCATCCGGGGCGCCATCGTTGTCGGTGTCATCCCTGAATCCAGAGAGATGTCAAAGGGCCTCGGGGAAAAGTCGAAGAGCCAGGAAAGAGGGACACAGTAGGAATAATCGCCACGTTTTGGCGGCATTCAGCTGTCAAGTGTTTACCCCATGATCAAATGTCACCGTTCAGAATAATTTCTCGAGCGGTTCAGATTCGAGCCAGTCTTCGGGGAGCCTCGCCTAGATCAACGTGAACGTTCCGGCTCTCCAGTTCTGGCTTCACGCATGGATCGCGCATTCGTTTGGGAAACAGTCGAGAGCTTCTGCTTCGTCATGCTGTCGACTACGTTGTTAGCGCGCCCCGTGTTCGACGAATGAGATGGTGGTTTTTTTCGGAATCGAATTCAATGAAAACAGCACCGACGAAGGAGTGAGCTCGGGAAAATAAACATCGATGAAATACTTCCGGGAGGCGGTACGAATACACTGTCATAAAAGGTTAGAACCTGACGGAGGACTTCGCGCGAGCCCACTCGAGCGGTCATGATTCCTGCAAATTGTTTGGAGTCAATTTTCCAAATGACTCGACTCGTTATCCAATGATTCGGGCTGTTTAATGAGTCTGCCTGCCGCACCGTTCCGAGTAGTTGAACTGACTCGTTCCTGAACTCATTCGTATCCTTTTTTTTGACGAAAGAGCGTCCACGGACTGTTGGAGCTGTGAATCCAAGACGGAAGCTTTTAGTTGGAGCGGGGTGAGGGTGAAGGATTTGCGATAACAGCAGTGCACTGAACTTCTCAGACACGCATCTCCTGAGACCAAACAAGCTTTTCGAAAAGCTCTGACGAGTGCTGCTGCTGGGGCAAGCCCGACCACTGACACCAGGAGCATTCGGTGCCGCTCTCGTACTGCGGAACGCGGCTCGGATATCGCGTCGGTGACGATCACGGCGGCGCCGATAGTTTCGGAATACGATCAAGCGAGCGAGCGAGCGAGTGAATGAGGGCTCGTCCGGCCGACAGTGGGATAGCTCTCGAAGCGAGTCGGAATTAAGGGAAAAAGCTCCCGACAACCACCATGTCGACGATGACAACGACGACGACTGACCCAGGGGAGTCGGGAGGCGATTCGAGGATGAGGAACGTCGTTTGTTCTCAACCGTTTGGTCAGACAGACTTTCTTTATACTCCTTTCCCCTCTTGTCCGAGTACTTGCCGCTGGTAGCGACAACGACGACGATTGTAGTCCTGCAGCGAGCCTTTCGAGCGACCGACAGCCCAGGCCCTCGGGGGCGGGGTAGGCCAAGCGTTCGTTGGGTTGGTCATTCGGTCGGTCGACCGGTTGGTCGGTCGGCCGACTGACCAAGGAACCGGCCCCTCATTCCCCACGCTCTGAGGAGTGAGGAAGGAACTCACGGTGACAGCGGTAGTTGCCGGAAAGGTTGCTAGGACAACAACAGGAGCGAAAAAGACTTCTTTCCTTTCGGGCCCCCACCGTCCTCCATTGTATTCTCGAAATGACACTCTTGGCGGCCGCATCCGACTCTCCCGCAGGAACCGACTCTCTCGGCCACCTTTCCGCTTAAATAGCGCGAAAGGGTCTCTGTCGTCGCAGACGTAATTTTTTCTTGAGCGACCTCGGTTCGCGCGGGCAAATGAGTGGTAGCCCGGGGAGAAGTTGTAGTTCCGGTTCCTATGCTTCGCGCTGTTCGGTGCGCTTCACCCTTCGTCTTGACAAGTGCTCATGGACTCTCGACCGGTAATCGGGCGACTCTTCCGGTAGGCATATCAGGAGCTATACTCAAGTGGCTGTGTGTCAACAAAGACATAAATTGGAATCGTCCGCAATCAGCCGGCCGCGACCTACGGCTCGGAAATCTCTCCCCTCTCGTCTGACTCTCCAAGCTCACCGTACGGATTTGAGCGGATGAGCGAAAAACTTTCAGACTTCAGATAACGTTTCGGATTGTCGCCTCGCGGATCAAAGTGGAGATGAAGGAAACGCGAGAGGGAAATAATCAACCCAGGGTGATGGCTGGCTTCACAAAACTCGAGGCCTGACTGCCCTTTTCATGGTGGGTTGGCACCTTTCGAAGTCAGGCTCCGAATCGCAATTTGGATTAGGTTGGAAAAAAATTCGCTCGCTTTAAAGTCATTGACCTCCCCGAGCCTTGCTCGCGCCCATGTGGACTCGAGTGTTTGGGGTTGTGTGAGTGCGCGTGTGAGGGTAAACGCGGAGTGCCGCGAGCTCCGACACCACCCCATTTCCATGCGTCACCTTGTTTCAATTGTTTGCATGAGGCTCTTAGATAGACCATAAACTAATTGGTGCGCGAGGAGTGACTAGCCGAATCCAGTTAGACTCCATCGCTATGGAGACCGCCACGAGCCGATGATGGAGCTACAGACTGAGCGCAAATACAGCTCAAGCCGCCAGCGGCACCCACGCAGACAATATTCAGAAAGACTAACGATCGCGGCAGGAAGCCGCTTTGATATCAGCCTCAGCCAGAAGGCGTTGTCTCGAGAACTTTGGATCCAGAGGACATGATCAAGGACTACAAATGTGATGTGCATCCGACTGGGGCTACGTATCGTCCGCGGGCCTCGGTCTGCCATTGCGAGCAACGCTCTGAAACATCATCGTATACTTCCCGTTGATTTCGAATTGAATCGAAGGAGGCTTGCACTGGACTGGCAAGTTTCTTGTCAATTCGCTTCGGTCCCTTGTCCGCTGTGGTTTTATCGACTACGCAACAGAGCCGTATCCTGAACGAAATCGCGAAGAGGCAGTAGTATCCGTGGTTTGATTGATAACGCGAAACGTGATGGAGGATTTTCTTTTCGACGGAAGGAGGCTCCGTATCTCTCCGCCCAGCTGCCTCCCAGGTACGCTCCCCGAGCAGAGGGAGGGCGAATAGGTGAGACTGTAATTTGCCAGAGTGCATTTCACTTTGAGCTCGCCATCGGGAAGAGGATTTGATTCTGAGGACGTGATGGCCCGATGGCTCGATCTACCGCCTCGGCTTCGACTGCTCTGCGCTGGTGGCGATGTTTCCATAGCGGCTGTTCTCGTTTGCTTATACGAGAACTCGAACTCGGAGTGAGTTGGAACTGTAAACTTTATGCATACACTGGTGCGATCGTGACTCTTTACACGTTTACAACGAGGGAGTCTCTCGCATCGAGACTCGAACTGATTCCTCTCGACTTCGAAAATCAACAACGGACTCGGATGTTTGATCGGCATCGTTCCACGAGTTCCGACTGAACGAGACGGATCGTTGCTTGGCTGGTGTCAGATGAGCCGACGAAAACCGTATTCCAGTCTGGTCTTCTGGAATCGAAATTATCGATACTGAGCTCGAACTGATGCGCTTCGAGCTCCAGCTCGCTGGTAGCAGGATGCCAACACAGGAGGGAAGAGCTATAGTTTCCTCGCTTCGTTCCAGGCAGTCGATCGTCGTCTGAGAGAGGTCAGGTTTCGACATTCGGTGTGTGTCCAAGGAGCGATCCCTGGATGATCTATCTGAAGATTCGAAATTCTTTGGGGACGGAGGATGATGATCACCAATATTTAGGGCGTCTAATCGGACCCGAACGAGACTTGTACGCTCGTCGAGCAGTTTGTTGAACCTCATTAGTCCTGCCGATCGATGCCGACGGTCGTGCCGTGGGTCAAACCGACGAGACCTTTTCGGTAGAGCGACCGAAAGCACAGTCGACGAATCGCATCGAAAATACATTGGGACCTAATTAGGTAGTCGCATCGTTAGTCCAAACTTTGCGTTTCTATCCAAGTGTCCATCATCGATCTACCGTAAGAGCACGGAGTTCACGCGAGCCCCAGTACTTGTCGAGATGTAATTTGAGGAGCGGGAAAAATTCCTCCGAATCCCAACGACTGAGAAGAGTGATCTTGAATGCTGCATTTTCTCCCGCCGACCGAAGGGTCGAGAACCCGCTCAAATCTCTCCATATGGTCAGAGTCGGGTGGAATAAACTTATTTCGTGTAAGGTTGAGCAGTTCCGTTCCGAGTCCATCTTCGCCACCCGATCGAAATGCGCCTCCGCAGTGGAGGCGGCGGAGGGTGCGTTTTAGAGTCATACTCCGCAGGGCGGCTTTCGATGGCAGCGGAATTTCGCCTTCATCCCTGTAGAGTCAGCTGCTGGCTGTTTTGTGCGATAGAATCCGTCTGGACCCTCTGAGGGCACTGCGGGAAACGAGCGCCGGGGCTGGGTAGTCATGGGACATTACCTGCGTTGCTGTCACGACGAGTGTTCGTCTGCAGCAAAGGCCCCACAGGCCCCCTTATCAATAGGCAACACTCCTGTCCGTTGACACCCATGGGGACGCTGGCGGCGAACACGCTGAAAAAAAGTTTGCATCGCTCTTCTGGAAACCGGAGCTTGATGCTCGGCTCTGACGGATGACCTGCCGAGCGCTTATCTTTCCTGCGCTCTCAGCGTGGATCCAGCGAGTAATTGCATCTGAAAAGGAATTGAGGCTTCTGTGAGTTTTCCGGTCTGTCTAAAATTCTTGGCCTCCGCGTCAGCGAGTACAACTCGACCGCATGAACTTTTCCCCTCTCAGCCATCGGCTCGGCAGCCACCGAGAGCTGGGACTCCACACAAACTCGACTCTGTGTACACCTTTCTCTTCCGTCAGTGTTCTCCCTTTCGCTTTTCAAAGCCGAGGGAGCGAACGGGAGAAAAACTCTGGGATGCGGCGAGAGATGCTAGCCCAAAATTGATTTCGGAAACTCCGATTCGGCTTGCGCGTTTTTTTTATATTTGTTGACACTTCTGTCTCGGGGGGAGCAATCCAAGAAAAAAAACGCCCCAACCTACTAACCGCTGCGGTTGAGATCCGTCCCCGG